ACAAAGAATCATAGAGATCGCGCACGCCTTGCTTAATTTTCCACCTTGACGCTCTCGTAGAAAAAGAGAAATCACTGCGGGATTAAAAATGTGGCCTTCTTTTTGCCAGTCGTGGTGGCGCGTAATGGATTTATTAATTCAAGCTCGACCTTTATGCAAACAAAGTATACGGGCGGCGGGCTGATACGCGGATAAACGCAGCTACTAAACCAAAAATATTTCCCTCCGCTAGCGTGCACACACACACGCGCGCGCACACACATATAGGCAAACAAATTGCATTCTGCTCCGTTTAAACTTTCCACCACGACGATATCGCATTTTCCTGAGAACAACGTGCGAATAAAATACCGACCGCCGCGAAATCGACAGTTTTTTTTTTTATGCCGTATTGCGATGAAAATGTTTCCGCAGAAAATGCTGCGAGGCGCGCGCGCAAATATTTCGAGGATTTCAAAGGCTTTCCGAAGATTCTTGAAAATATCGTCCGAAGATTCGACCACGTGAGAGGTGAAAAAATGTACGCGAAAGCGTGTAACGGAATTTCCGGCCGACGCGGTGCCGGTGAAACGAACGAAACTGTAGTTAATCTACGAGATTCATTTACGGAACGGAGTGAAGCACGGAGGGGATAATTGAAAGCGTCACACGCCAAACTTAATCCTTTCTCGCCGATTTGCGAATATTTCACCATAATTTCTCACACTGAGAGAAATTGTAGTTATTTACCTCACTATGAGATCAGACGCAGTGGAAGGGATAAGGAACGTGGAATGAAATTTCGGTGTATAGGTCGACATAAAATCACGCTTCAATCCTCAATAAAAAGAGCAGGAAACTAGCGTTAGGACCACTGTCGACATTTTATTCCTTATATATCCGCGTGCTCATATCCCAGTCAGCACATGATATCACTCGTATACACAACATATTCTCATACTGAATGTACTGCAGACATAAACAATATATTAAGGACATCCTTACATTATTTCACGCAATACATCATATCGTAGTACATTATTAGGATATAGTCAGAATGCAGCAATTTAATATATCTGTTAGAGCGGACATTACATGGCAACGTCAGTGCGAGATGTGATATGTACTACGAAAAATATTGTCGAGATGTGTTCTCTACTATGTTACGTCTACTTTTGGTACATGTAGTATGTGAACAGTATACACGAGATATCATGATCGTATATCACATGATATACGAGATATCATGTGATGTCTCGGTTAATATATATTATATCAATATCCGTCGCGTGTTCGTTCAGAGAAATGTTTCGCTGATCCAGCCGGAATCCTAAATGTCACAGGTGAAATGTATCGCTGTTTTTCCTGCGTCTACTAGAAAACGGTGGTATACGTGTAATTTACAGCAGAGCACCGGCATTCTACCAATATGTGCGGGATAATTTAGATCCTGTTACGAATTTTTCACGAAAAGTGCGGCCTTAATCCGGACATCACATGAAGACCCTCTTGCTAAACAAGACGAATAGTTCGGATAAAAATTCCGTCTCCGTTACCGATATATATCAATCAGATACAACACATGTAGGACAATCAGCCGATACTTTTTCTCCCCGTTGCATCTTTTTAGCGGATCACGTCGTTTTAGTTAGCGTAATCGCGAATAACTGGCTGGGAAATCGCTCGTCGAGTTATATTCCTCTCACGGAATACGCGCGATCCGAGAGTCTGGGGCGCGAAAAAATCCAGAATGCCAGGTCGTTCAATTTATTAAGCGCTCTTATTAATCAACCGTTATTATGACGCCACATTACGGGGGGCTCCCGGCCCTTTCGACGGTAAAGCTGGGCGCGAACTCACTTGATATGCGCGGCATAATCACAAATGAGAAATTGCACGAGAGAGGCGAATCCCGGACTCCGCGTTTCATTGACCAACGCGCGAGGGAGACTAGAAGTGCTACTGCCGCGGCCGATAAGAGACGTACAATGCGACGGTGAATTCCGCGCGGACGAGAGACTGCTTTGAAAACTTGACGCTCCGCGGACTGGCCTTCCCCCCTCCTCCGACTTATCCGCATACCTGCCGCGCTCGTAAAACGCAAATGCGAATATAACGCACGTGAAATGCGCCGAGCGGAGTTGAGCCGCGCGATTTGCGGCAACAGATGCGCGTTAGTGCCGCAGTGAAACCGCAGCGAATCGTTGCGACCTTCCGTGGAACGGGATCGAAGGAAGCGCGTGTGAGTAGCGCGTTCTTGAGTAACAATAAGCGACGTAAGCGAAAAGAAGCACCAGTGGTGATATTATAGAGGAGTCTGGGTTATATAATGGGATGCAGCCGATAACTTTTCACAGAGATGCGTACAATTGAATGCCTCGCAATAACTGCTGTTAGATGTTTTTTTGTTTACAGCGTGTTGTCGGCTGTCGTGTTAGTTTTAGTTGAAAACTTGTTAGAAATTGTTCAATGCATTCATTGCAATTTCTTTCATATCTTTGCATGAGACAAGCAGTGGTGAAATATTTTCTATTACTGTAAGTGCATTTACGTTATTAAGCGATCCTTCCTTGTCACTTTTATTACGTGTTCTATCACGTTGAAAAAATTCTGAACATTAGTGTTCGGGAAATAAACAAGTTTTGTGATCCCATGATGCACCGCATAAGAAACGTAATGGGGTTGATGCACACTTTCGGTAAAATAATAATTTCGTCCTTAATTATTCCCTCGCTGGAAAAATTGTGTTTCTCTTGTAGCGAATAGTCCGAAGAATATTCGAATGTTTAAAGACCAAGTTGATTTATTTCGTTTTCGTGTGTTTAAAACTTGTGTAAACCTTAGCGTTCCCATTACATCGAAAATGGATGTTCAAAGTATTAAAGCAGTATATATTTTCTCATACTGATAATATAATAAAATTGACAGGACTCCTCTACAAAATGGTGTGTTTCGTTCATTTCGTTCGGTCCACTTGTTGCAAAGTAATAACCGTTTACATTCAACACACTCCCAACGGCACACCTGTACATCAATTTTTACATTAAATCATATTTAGATTTGGACGGAGATTTAGATTATCGTAGAATCTCATTCAACTTTGAAATTGGCATACATTCGAGTTTTGTGTTCGTTATCGTTAATCGAAGTTTGTGAATTCACCGTTATCTTCATCCCTTCGAACTTTCAGTGAGAAGAGATTATTACCCTGAGATTATCATTCTTATTACGAGAGATAATTCAGAAACTGATTCCTTTCTTATTGAAAATTCGGGGAACGATGATAATATTGAATTAATAAACTCAAAGACTGTAATGAGAAAGATTAACGAATAAGGCTCAAATATATATCAATTTCGACGTTGTGAAGGATTTAGATGGAGATTTAGATTAACGTGAAATATGATGCGACGTAAAAATTGCCGTGTATTCGAACTTTGCGTTCGTTATTATTAATCGAATCCCGTATTATCGCGATTCCTTGGAATTTTCAGCAAGAGATCATCACGCAGAGATTACAATCACTTCTTATCAGAGACTCTCGTTACAAGGATATGAATCTCGTAAGAGATAATGCGAAACTGATGCTGCCTCATTGAAAGCTCGGAGGGACGACGATAAGTGAAACACGTCTCCCCTCGATATACAATCACCGGGGCAACTCGTGGCCTTCGGGAGGGCGGTTTATCGCTTCCTCGCGGAGGGCTTCGCGCGAAGCGATTCGAAGCGCGCGAGTTTCTCGCCTTAAAGCGTGTCCGGCGGCTTTCGCAGCGTTACCGCGTATCGTATCGCCGTAATTACAAATGACGATGATATTACGGTCGTGCCACGCGCGGTCGTCGTGTTACGTTATCGCGTAATGTCATAACGTTACCCGGATCTAGGCGCAATCGTATTTTGCGTTTGATATCCTCCCCTCCCGCTCCGGCAATAACGCTTACGCTAATTCGAATTTTCACACGTCACGTCTCTCGCTCGCTACGAGGCGAGTTTATAGGCCGATAAGTCGTGTGCCGGAAAACAGTCGAAAAATTAATGAGACCCAATGAGAGGATCTATTTTTCGGACAATTTTTGCGTACGATAATATATACGTACGATAATATATATTGCATATAAGTAGATGTTACTTGTTTCAAGTATTTTCTAAGTTTACTTATTCTCGTATATATTCTGAATCCTAATAGAGGAGGAGGTGGTTCGGATTATCGTCCCTCACTCACATTTTGTGCAGTAATTTTATCAACAATCAATATTTTCAATTGAAAACTCAACGATTACGTTCGTCAAAATATCGTTCAATCGATTCGAGATTTCTGGAATATTTATTGCTTAGGACGTTATTTATCGAAAAGCGCGACGATCCTGCTTAATGAGTCGAACAGAAATAGGGGTGATAATTCGTTTCCACCTTCCGCTAAAATGGATTTCGAAAACTTGGGTTTTATTTGAAAGAAAAGCAGTATTTCGTTACAGATATACATATTTATTTAAAATAAACTCTTCGAAGAAACAACGATAAATATGATCGGGAATTTTTAATGCAGATACTAACTTGTCAGAAAGTAGACACAAACTGCCGGAAGTTTGTTTCGACAAGACGAATAGACTTTCAAACTTAATTTACCGACTTACCGATGTCAAATAACTACTTCGACGTGAAAACCTCGAGAAAGAGGCCGCATTAAATTTATTTCAGCGCGGAGACCAAATCAGCAAAATTCCGCGCTGCCGCTTTGCCCAGCCCGAAGTGCGTGCAGCGGAACAAAACCTCAAGTAGCGAACGAAACGCTCAAGTATATTCGTGCGAGGATACGGCCGAGTTACTCATCGTCCTGCGTTCCGACATCCGACGCATCCTGTTCCCAAGATCCAACAAGCCTTGGCGCGCGCTAAACGTAACCGACGCGGATCTCGCGGATTTAACATCGCCGCTAATCGAACGCTACACGAACGAGGTGCATGCAAACGCGGTACCCGGTGGTTACGCGAAGAAGGATATCCGACTTCTCGGCGACTTACCTCACGACGACGGCGGCGGAAGCGGTGAGACTCGCAGGGGATTCTGGCGTGTCGTCGACGAGTCGCGCCGATTAATTAGCGCCAAATACGCAGCGGTTCTAAGATAATTAACGATGCTTAATCCCGCGTTGACCCGATCTCGCCGTGTACAACTATTACTACTACTACCAGCGTAATCTTCGAGCACACACACACATACACGAGCGCGCTCGCGCGATGTTCCCAGTCTCTCTTTTTCTCTCTTTCTTTCTCTCTCTCTCTCTTTCTACCTCTGTCTCTCCTGCACGGTTCAATTCAGCGAGTGACAACGACGCTCAGTCGTTCCGCTGGAAGCGGCCGTCTTTATCCACGTTTTATCCGCGCACGGGGACGCGGGAAACGCACGTCGTTCACTCGACACTCGATTGTTATACGGTACTGTTGTCGTTACTTCGTTAACCGTGCCGTCGCCCCTCCTCCTGCTCCGCGGACTTCCTTCTGCCGTCACCCGTTGCTGGCGCGGTTGTCCTCGCTGGTTTTCCCACCCGGCGGTACGTGTCGCGCTTTATATTTTCCCGAACGAAGCACAGAACCGAACGCGCCGTGCGCCGCCGGTGTTCCTCTTCCGCGATGAACGACGAAATAGAGAATCGAGCTCTCGTTGCGCTCCCTGCGCTCGAAGCGCGATATCACACCGTCGTGCCTTTTTCCGCGGGGCAAGTCGGCTACTTGCGGTATTTTCAATCGCACAGATCGCTCGGAGTGTCCCTCCTGCGCCGGAACGGCCTCGGGGAGGAAAACGACGGCTGCACGACGACGCGGGAATTAATCCGAAAACACCAGACGCCGATGTTTCGACGGCGAACAATCGCGACTAACACACTCGGCCGGCGGGAGAGAGTCGCTTCCGAGGGCAATTTAACGCGAAGATTTATATATATCGATTAACGAATTACCGGTGGGCAATTAACGCGGAAACAATCGCGGCTTGCACAGTCTTGTACGCGATCGGGGATGTCCGAGCGCGGAAACGCGAACCCGAGTATCGGTTCGCGCCTCCCTCTTTCCCTCTCTTTCTTCCTCTCGGTCCTCGCGTAGCCACTTGAATGAGGCCGAATGAGAATTAACGCGGGGATGAAGAGCTCCGGGGGGTCGTTTAAAGATCGGGGGAGCTCGAGCGAAGAAAGCGGGACCGGATGAGAAGCGCGATCGGCGGAAACCCGAGCTCAGCCGCTCTCCGAAGAAGAGACTCTTCTCTCCTTCTCTCTTCTTCTTCGTTCTCTCCGTCTGTCTCTGTCTCTCTTGAGGGAGGCTCTCGGAGATTCCGCGAGGGGTAGAGCCCACGAACAACACGACCGTCACATAATCCTTCCGCAGTATATCGAGACGCGCGTCTGTCGTCACCGGCGGTGAGATCGGCGGAGGTCTCGCCTACGAGGAGGCGGTCTCGGGGTCTCGACCTCCTCGGGGTATCGCGCCGGACAGCCGCCGGGCACCCTTATCCCCTCCGAGCGTGTCCATCCTTCGGAGGATCATCGAGAGGCATATCTCCTCCCCCCGGAGAACGAACTTCCGTCGATCGGGGTGTAATTCGCGAATCACATCGTAATCGGTCCGTCTCGCACCTTCACTGCTGTGCACTCAGTGCCGACGGAACGGAACTCCGCCGCGGGATCGCGAGATCGTGGCGATCAAGAAGGTGTCCGGGAAGGGAAAGGGAGGAGGAAGAGGAGGAGGATACCAAGAGAGAGAGAGAGAGAAAGAGAGAGGATCGACGTCGGTCGGTCCGAGAAACGACGAAAAAAATTGATCGCCGCGATCGATCGATCGTTCGACCGGCCGACCTCGCGCGAGATCGGTGGGATTCTCAGACGGTGGCGGGTGGTGAGTGATCAGACGATGTCATGCCGATGTAGGCGGAGGGAGAGAGGATGGTTCGTGCTCAGACCGTACGACGGTACTGCGGCCACCGCCGCGCGATGGGAAAACCCCGGTAGTAGTTCCGTACCGCGGAGCGGCGCGCGGCTGTCTGCGTGCGAACTGGCGCAAGCTCCTACGAAGCTCGGCCGACGTAGGGACGAGAGGGAGGGAGGGAGGGCGAGCGAGCAAATGCGCGACGGAACGCGCGGACGGTAAAAGCTCGATACCGTCGCTCGCGCGCGCGAACGGCCACGCGAAATATACGGAGAGGGAGGGGTGAGTCCGCGGGCCGAAAATTCGCGCGCTAATTCCGCGATATTAGCGAGCCGGCTAGATGCTCCGGGTATTAGGCGGCGACAACTCCCGGTTTCTCGGCGATACGCGTGATTTTATACATTAGCGACAGAACGCGCGCCCATCGCGCGACGTTACGGTCGTTAAACGGCAATTTTATGTGGCCCAAGTGTGACGTACGACCGTCTGTCTGTCTGTTTGTTTATCTGTCTGTCTGTGCACGTGAGTGCGCCTTCGTTTATCCGCGCGGAGCGCGGCGCTCGTTATTTCCCCCGGTGATGGGAGATTTTCGCGAATTCGCGGGGAGAAGGGAAGAGAACGGGGTTTCTTCGTCTTCTCGTTCGAGGAGACGGAAGGTTCGCGAGTTGACGCGGAGGTATCCCAGGGTTGCCTCAGGGTTCAGTCACGGTGAAAGGAACGAAGAACGAGGAATTAAATGTGGGGAATTAGATGTGAGATATTCGGAATAAGCTGTTTAGGTGATAATACGATGAGAGAAGCAGAGTAAGGTATAGGAACGTATCGAAACGAAAAATCGCGCCACTTTTACTATTTTCTAACGAACTACTGTTGTCATCATGCGGGAGTCGTGGGACAAAAGCAATAATGACCTTTCTCGAAATTATAAAACGCACTTTTTATCTACGCCAGCTGGAACTACGAAAATATGTAGATACAACGGTAGACTTCTTTATTGTTGTTTATTAATTAATGAGACACAGATTTCATGGCAAACTATTTTATTAGTTGTGACACAAAAGTCGACGTCGCATTCAAATATTTACATGGGAATTAAGGCGGTCCGTTACCTTTATTTGATATACGGAGTAAGAGCAAACGTCAATATTTGAGAGAGAGAAAGTTTATATTTGGAAGAACTTGTTATCTCTCTCTCTCTCTCTCTCTGACACACCGGAAGCTTAATTATTCACCTATTCATCTTATTACTTATTCCAAGGCCCGATATATATATGGAAAAGAATTAATCTTACATCAAGAATCTACGAAGAGATATCTCGTTATCCACGCTTGGGACACTTCCATCGCACTTCCATCACGACGTGACGTCTTCGCGCGACCCGGCGATGTTTCGAACGTCGGTGGCGAATTTTCATTACCCCACGTTCATTTCGAAAGTCAATTATCGAGAGATCAGTTTACCGCGGAAATCGGAGACATTACGAAGACGGAGCGATGCCCGATTAAATTTACGCTGAGAGAAGAGTACCGAGTGTTACCCGAAGTTGCGTAAATATAAATCGTGTTTCCTCAATATTTCACTTTCTCAATATTTCTCAATAGTTCGCCGTGGCATATACATTTCCCCACGCGAAGAAGACCCCTCAGAGCATCACCCGACAATTACACCGACGAACCTGCTGCGTCGTTCCCAAATGTAGATCGCGCTGCAATTTTTGCAATCTGATTCAGGACACAGAGAGAAAGAAAGAGAGAGAGAGAGTGTGTGTGTGTGTGTGTGTGTGTGTGTGTGTGCAGTTTCATAGCTCATGAATACGAGGGTGGCAGCGTGATATCGATGTTCGATGTCGCGCGAGCTGCTACTACCAGCCCCTCGTCACGGACTTTATTTGCAAGCGCATACGTGATGGACAGGTCAGTGAGAGAGAGAAAAAGAGAGATGTAGAGAGAGATAGATAGAGAGAGAGAGAGAGAGAGCAGAGACCACACAGGGTCGAAAGGAAAATGTTTATGATGCGCGCGAACGCATTAAACACCGTGCCTCGTATAACAGTAACGTCGCGTAACAGCATGGAGCCCGCATTGTCCTCCGCATCCGGCAAGTAATCGAACGTGATCGATATACGAGCAGAGAGAGAGAGAGCTCGCTGGTATCTCGGCGAACGTGCGGCAGCCGCCGCCGATGGAGAACGCTCTTTCACTCTTGAGCAGGTCGGACGGATAAGTTTGTTTATCCGAGGACGGGAAGTTTCCTTAAGCACACACGGGGTGCAATCTATACCCTCCACCTATATATATATGCGGAGTGACCCGGGAGAAACGTAGAAACCGGTCGCGCTGCCGTGTACGCGCGCTACTGTTCTTCGGACGAATTTGTCGTTGAACTTCCATTAGCGAAGATTCAGCCGGAAGCTAAGCGAAGGGATCGCTTTATATTCGCAGGCTATCCCGTCTCCTCTTCTCTCTTCCTACTTTTCTTCTTCTTTCCTCGCGTTTCGGCTAATGTACGAACCGGCCCGAATGTTAATTACACCGGGGTCAACACGAAACTTGCGTCCTTGATTTAAATCGAAAATTCGAGTTACTTTTTATAGCGCTGACCACGGATATAACGATTAAAAATCAAGATCAGTTCTTCCATTTTCCATGATGTAGTAAATAACAATCAAAGGGAGTTTCCAAACTGCAAACTCTTCGAGGATCTGTGAGTGAGACATGTGCTTCAATTTCCTGCAATAAAAGACCTCGAATGTTAATCTTCCGTTGTATTGAAGAACGTTAAAAGTGGTCTAATGATGTGATGTTTAAAATGAATTTTAGTATTTCTTCGGCAGTATAAAAACATAAGGATAAAGAAATTTAGCCAAAATATATTTCGTTATTTCATTTTCTTTCTTCATATTATCAGTTTGCAAAATTTTAAAACGTAGCCTATACTCCTCCAGTTGGAGCAAAATCATTCTTTTACTGTCATTCTCTGTCCCAAAAAAAGAAAAAAAGAAACTTTCGATAAGGATGCAGATTATAACGCGAAATTTGTTGATCAGCGTTATCGATGAAACTCGTCTCTTGAGATAATTAAATAATTACTCCTTCATTTATATATTTCATACGTTTCGCAATTCATAACTTGCGTCGGCTCTTATTGTTTCTTCCCGTCCTCTGTTGACTTCACACGTTATTTGTATATTTTGCTTCTTACATTAATATTAATGTACATATTTTCTTACTAACTTACGTACAATTTTACACATATATAAGGAAGAAAGGTAAAGCACAGTCGGACAAACGCGAGAGGCCGAATTTGCTTATTGCGACAAAGAAAGTCGAGTGAGAGCGAGAGAGAGAGAGAGCGAGAGCGAGGGGGTCGCGCGGGGGAAAGTCTCCTTTTCATCCTCTTGCTAATAAAGGCAGCGTTTCCGGGACGCGTGTCAGAAAAAGGGCTAATCAGCTATTCTCTCTGTAAAACGCGCTCGTGCATATGCATCGTCGCGTGCGGCCCGCATCTTTATTCGCGCGCACGGGGCGTGCGATGTGTACGCGTAATACGCTTGCGTCCGCGCGTCGAAATAGAGAGAGAGAGAGAGAGAGAGAGAGTGTGATGCAGAGAAAACGCGGGACCTGATAAAGAAATTCCGTGCCACGAGTGCTCGCGAAAGTTCGCAGGAGGCGGACAACCTAATTATAACAAAAACTTGCAGTCGCTCATTACTGTCTCTGAAATACGTTTCCTTCGAATGCGACACGCGCGCACGGAGGGAGCAACGAGCGCGTCGGAGCGTACGTTCCGCTCCGAAAAGTCGCGCAGTAGGATTTACAGGTGCAATATTTTTGGCAGAGGCCGCCGCCGGGGGTGTCTTTGCCACGACGTTTTACGTGCCTTCGCCACGACGTTTATATACAGCTGTCTCGCGCGACTCTTCCCGAATCGAAATCTCGCTTCCACATGAGCTCTACGAATTCCACGTCGCGGAAAACAACGTGCAGGCTGTTGTCTTATCACGACGCTACAGATGGTTATTTCGTGCTGTTTTCTCCGTGTTGAACGGGCGCGATTATCTTCACAACTTTTCTTCTCAACCGACCGGCAGAAACTTATTTATCCCGTGACGATATCGTCCAATTTGCATTTATTAGAATATTTCAGTATGCAAATAATGCGAAAATAAATAATTACAACATCAACAATCGAATACGATATTGTCACAATATGATCAAAATGATACCGATCAAATACATGGATGTATGTGTGTACGAACGTAAGTTGTTTGTAAACGAAAGAGCATGCGAAAATATTACCCGCAACCGTTCACCACGTTAGCGGTCGTAAAATCAAGTTGTTTGTAAACAAAACATGCGTACCGCCTCTGTACATTACATTATATTACGATTTTACAATAATAGCACTTCAGAGGGTCATTCGAAGGGCAACATATCATACATGGTTGAATTTATCTTTTATCTAATACTGTGATAATAGAAATATGTTGTTCCATTAAAAATATTGCCTTGAAATATCGAGAATCGCGATCTTAAAAAAAATTTTTAATTAAAATTTTTTTTTTAGTTGGTCCGTAAATTTATTTTTTGAGAATTTCCTTCCGAAATTTTAATAACATTAAACGATCCCGTAAAGCGCCGAGTCCGATTCCGAATTTTTGATTTCGGTCGTTTATTAGTTTTTTAAGTGGAAGCATTTTTTATCATTGCCCGCGACTCCTGTTTTCTCCGTTTCTCTTTACGAGCTCGCTCACTCGTTGCGTTGATTCTCTTATTTCGGTGATTGCCGAAGAAAGACCGATCGACGAATCGCGCTGTATTGTCATATTTAATTCGATAAAGGAAGATTCCGAAACGCGGTATCGAAGATTCGGCGGAATCTGTGACATCTCTGTGTTAAGCCACGCACTTTTTCGACAACCCTCGTATTCGCAATATGCGCCCGCCGGCAGTTCCAAGCCGAAAGTATTGTTACACGTCGAAGAGAAAACGAAAGACGATCATTTCTTTACGAGTTTTTCCAACATTACGCAAGTCTTATTCTCTTGTTATAATGTCGAAGCGTATCATAAA